GGACGGAGGCGGAGGCGGCAAAGGAAACGGCGGCGGCGGCAGAGGCGGCGCGAGTGGTCGCGGAGGCGGCGACGGAGGCGGCGCGAGTGGAGGCGGAGGCGGCGACGGAGGCGGCGCGGACGGAGGCGGAGGCGGCGAAAGAAAAGGCAGCAGCGGCGACGGAGGCGGCGCGAGTGGAGGCGGAGGCAGCAACAGAAAAGGCGGCGGCGGCAGAGGCGGCGCGAGTGGAGGCGGAGGCGGCGACGGAGGCGGCGCGGACGGAGGCGGAGGCGGCAAAAGAAACGGCGGCGGCGGCAGAGGCGGCGCGAGTGGAGGCGGAGGCGGCGACGGAGGCGGCGCGAGTGGAGGCGGAGGCGGCGACGGAGGCGGCGCGGACGGAGGCGGAGGCGGCGAAAGAAAAGGCAGCAGCGGCGACGGAGGCGGCGCGAGTGGAGGCGGAGGCAGCAACAGAAAAGGCGGCGGCGGCAGAGGCGGCGCGAGTGGAGGCGGAGGCGGCGACGGAGGCGGCGCGGACGGAGGCGGAGGCGGCAAAAGAAACGGCGGCGGCGGCAGAGGCGGCGCGAGTGGAGGCGGAGGCGGCGACGGAGGCGGCGCGAGTGGAGGCGGAGGCGGCGACGGAGGCGGCGCGGGCGGAGGCGGAGGCGGCGAAAGAAAGGGCAGCAGCGGCGACGGAGGCGGCGCGAGTGGAGGCGGAGGCGGCGAAAGAAAAGGCGGCGGCGGCAGAGGCGGCGCGAGTGGAGGCGGAGGCGGCGGCAGAGGCGGCGCGGACGGAGGCGGAGGCGGCGAAAGAAAAGACGGCGGCGGCGGAGGCTGCGCGAGTGGAGGCGGAGGCGGCGACGGAGGCGGCGCGGACGGAGGCGGAGGCGGCGAAAGAAAAGGCGGCGGCGGCAGAGGCGGCGCGAGTGGAGGCGGAGGCGGCGACGGAGGCGGCGCGAGTGGAGGCGAAGGCGGCGACGGAGGCGGCGCGGGCGGAGGCGGAGGCAGCAAAACAAAAGGCGGCGGCGGCAGAGGCGGCGCGAGTGGAGGCGGAGGCGGCGACGGAGGCGGCGCGGGCGGATGCGGAGGCGGCGAAAGAAAAGACGGCGGCGGCAGAGGCGGCGCGAGTGGAGGCG